GTTAAATGGTTGTTAATGTTTTTGTTTTTCTTTCTATTTGTCACATGTTTGATTTGAAGACTGTTGTACGTAAATAATAAAGTTAGGTCATCCCTTCAAAGAAAGTTAGTAGCCAGTGCCTTCCGGTCAATATAAAAATAGATACACACAACGTAGGTATTCCTTATGACGATCACATATTTTAGGCCACAACTACGTTTATACGTTTATATTTTTTTCGATCGAACCTAGGGTTGTTATACTACAACGTTATTTACGCAAATTTATAAAATTTTTAAAATAACTCGTTAATTTGTTCACTATGCAGTTATTCATAAAAATGCAATACACGATTGACAATAAAATAAAAGTGTTTAAAAAATTACACCAAACTGATTGCCTATGAATATCAATTAATGTTTAAAATACAAACTTTTCTGTGTATATAGATTTAAAATCACATAGTAAAAAATATATATTTCTAACTAACTTTAAAAATGGCTATTCAGATCAAATGACACTGGGGGCAAGTCTTTAGATTTCAATATTCTTATAGCAGAATCATTTGCATTTTTATGCGTTTTGATGACAGACTTTGAAAATCAGAAGTATGGTGGGTTGTTTTAATCTTTACTGATACTGATAGGTATCAAAACAAAGGAATCAATAGCATTTTGATTCTCAAAATTGCTATGATTAAGACACAATAAAAATGTACCCTTTTAATATATATGGATACTCGAGGCCTTGTTGCAGGTGGTCCAAGAGCGACTCTCGGCATCGTTGGCCTTTTCGCCGGCTCTCTGTAGAAATGCCTACAATTCGTTTTTGACAAGAATATGGGTTTGGGGCTCTTGGTAAAGAAGGAGTGGCAGAAAAAGAGAGAAGCGTGATCTGTGCTAGCTTGTCCATGTGTTTGTCAGAAATCGACATTTAGTATGCCAAACTTTTTAGAGCGTTCCTCGTAGCACTGGGTGATTTTTTGAAATAAGGATTTTTGATATTATTTTTAGAAAAGTATTAAATAATACTTAAATTAATTATGGCGTAATGGAACAGCATTTGGCTGTTAGACTCCCTTGAGTCTATATGAAATTAATGCAACTGATATTTTACAGACCAGTGTCGTGTTTCATTTGAATCCGAGGAACCGTATTCGAATTATTTAAAAAATGTATATTTGACAGTTATGTATCATTTTGTAACATTTGTGTTGAGTATTTTCAAACTAATGACCAAAGGAAACTTTTTGCATAAGGTACAATTTCTCACTTTTTGGATTAGTTTGGCAGCATATTTTGGAAACACCCTGTTTAAAATTACAAATTTATCGTTTTTGTTATAGTGGCAGCGAGAAGACTAGTGTCCGCATACAGAATAGCCAGGGACAGACCGCTGCCATACAAATAGAAGCTAACTCTATCAACACAGTGTTGTACAGTTAGATGGTAGTAATTGAAATGTAACAAGTGTAATAAGTGTAATACTGCGAAAAATTATAATGCAACGAAAGTAAATATTTAAAACAGTAAATTGTGTTTTTTTTTAACAACCTTATTTAATCGTCCCACCTTCATTTTTTTAACTCAATAAATATTGTTTTTAAAACGAATCCAGCTCCATTCCAGATCCAGCAAATATATTTTAGTCTGGCGCTCCATTATTTATTATTCTTTATATCATTTGATTAATTCACTGTTTTTTATCCCATTTAATTCGTTAAACATACTAAGATATATAATAGGTAATAATTATAACTTAAGTGTTATTGGATATTAAAAAAATATATTTTTTAGACAAAATACAATAAATACGTTTACATGATAAAAGATAGACTTTTTATGTTAATGTTAATTTAAACTATATACAGGGTGTTCCTAAATATGTGTCGCAACGGAATACTGTAAATTCCTCTTGAAAAAAGAAACATTTTTTTCCTTTTCCATTTTTCTCTCCGGGCTTTCGTTTTCGAGATACACGGTGTCAAAACTTTAATTTTTTTTTAGTTTTTCGCCAATATCTTAGGAATCGTTTGAACTACAGGACTGATCTTTTGTACACACATTACCACTATTAATAGCTACTTTTTCGCACCCTTCTCGAATTCATTGGACGTGCCAGTGGTGGAGATTTTAAGGTATCGTAAGGGTTTTTCCCCCCTAAATTTTACGCCACTGGAAAAATTGACTTTTGACAGCAAATTCTAAAGCGCCAATGAATTTTACACAATAAGAGTTCTCTTGGTTCATTGCTCTAAAGTCAACCGTTTTCAAGAAAAATGACTTTTTATGAACAAAAGCAAACATTTTGCTAACGTTTCGAAAATCTTTTGTAATTCAAAAAATAGGTAGTAATAATTAACAATTTTAACGAAATTTAACAACAGATAGGATTTTAACTTTTTTTTATCAATTTGGCGAGTAAAATTTACAGAAACTGTTCAAAATTACGTCCGTTGGCTTGAATGCACGCATTACATCTTCTAATCATGTTTCTTTCTGCCGCTGCGGTTTCACCTCTATCGGTCAACTTTTCGATAGTATTGACATGGATTTCATAAACGATGCATTTCGTTCTCCGGATGTTCTGTTCAGTTACTTGCACTTGCAAAATGTTCAAAATGCAAAATGCAAAATGTAAAAAATTTTCGAAACGTTAGCAAAATGTTTGCTTTTGTTCATAAAAAGTCATTTTTCTTGAAAACGGTTGACTTTAGAGCAATGAACCAAGAGAACTCTTATTGTGTAAAATTCATTGGCGCTTTAGAATTTGCTGTCAAAAGTCAATTTTTCCAGTGGCGTAAAATTTAGGGGGGGAAAAACCCTTACGATACCTTAAAATCTCCACCACTGGCACGTCCAATGAATTCGAGAAGGGTGCGAAAAAGTAGCTATTAATAGTGGTAATGTGTGTACAAAAGCTCAGTCCTGTAGTTCAAACGATTCCTAAGATACTGGCGAAAAACTAAAAAAAAAATTAAGTTTTGACACCGTGTATCTCGAAAACGAAAGCCCGGAGAGAAAAATGGAAGAGGAAAAAAATATTAAAATATTTCTTTTTTAAAGAGGAATTTACAGTTTTCCGTTGCGACACTTATTTAGGAACACCCTGTATGTTAGGTCGGTTTCCAGACTTTCGTGAACGGTATTTAAATAATTTCTGAGCCTTCTTGGTATTTAGAAAAAGATACTCTAAGAACTCTTTGGAATGAGGATATTTTAGTGGACAGAAATCTGTCTTTGGGGAAATCTACTAAATACTTTTAAAAAGTTTTCAGGTAAAAAAATTAATGTAACTTTTATTACGAAAACTTCACAGCATATTTCCATCATTAAGAATAGAAAGATTTTTCTGTTCGGAAAATACGTCAGAAAAGTCCCGGAAGTGATCTGACAGGTTCTAGTAAATTACGTTAGTAATATCTCAACTCAAGGTTAAATTTTCTATTTTTGTTATTTTAAAACTGTTTACTTATATGCACATACAATAATATTTAAGGGGTGAACCACAATTAGGAGGCTGATTTTCAAGCGTTTCTCATAATTTTTTTTAAGTGGAACGAATTGATTAGAGTTTGATCAAACTTGACATTATTTTATCAATATTTTGAAGTTCATTTTTAATTTTTTTTAAGTCATTTGTGTTGAAAATGCCGAATGGGCTGTTGTCCATTGACGGTTGTTGTCCGATGTTTTTTGAGAATATGAACCTCATTATGGGTAAAAATAGTGAAAATTGAAGTTTTGACACATGTTTGCAAAAAGGTATCGTTTCTCACCATTTTTTCACTTATTTTGAATAAAATACACTCTTAAAATTATGATATCATCCCAATTACTGATTGGTTGTTGTTGTAATCTTATAAAGTAACAAACTAGTGAGCCCATACTTCTTTAATGTAATTTAAATAGAAAAATTTTCATTTCGAGAAAAATGAGTTTGAAGTTTGCGGTAAACGGAAATTGCGATTTTTTTTATAGTAACGGCTATTTAAGGTGGCCATATCCCTGACCGAGAAATAGTCAAATTTCTGGCGTTTTTGGGTACTGAAATCTTGAAAAGTAAAACGTGTAGAACAAAAGTAAGCCCAAAAATAAAATCCTTGTTGTTCTGTTTATTCATTGTTACTATTTAAATTTACTCAAATAAAATAATAACTAAAAAAAGCATTTGTAAAACATGCGTTTGCTGTTATCCGAATCCCACATTTTAAGAATTATTTTCACGTACTTATAAATAAAAGTAAACAATTTTATATGTAAGACTAAGCAAGTAAATGTTATAAGAATATTTATATGTGGAATTATATATAAAAAAGTTTGTATTTTCGTAGATTTCAGTACCTAAAACCTTGATGATTGATGTTGAAATGTTTGAAATTATTTGTCTTTGTGGAAACACTATTTAAAGAATACGGCGCCCTTAAGTTCCATTTTCGCCTAATCAGCAATGTCTTCACCTTCTTCCTATTGAAATTGTTGTGATTCGGCAGCAGCTCTTATATTTTTCGCCAATCGACCTGCTTTATCCTGATTGTCGGTTTTAACCTCATGTCTTAAAAAATTCGCAAAACAGGTTACTTAATAAGTGATAATGCTTAAAAAATAATTGCAAAGAATAGGCGAGTAGATTTTTATTTTATTCTACTATATTCACAGAATATTGCTAGTAAATTCGATGCTAGTTGGCAGCATGTGGCCTAAAGAGTACTTGTTTCAACCAATATAAACAGTTACAAGAACTAAAAACAAAAAAAAAATTTAAAAGATATTTAGTAAAATCCCATTTCTTTAAAAGCTTTGGTATTTTCTTATAGGTATGTGTAATTAACATTTATCAATTCTACTCTCAGGGAGACCATCCGGAAAAACATTCCTATGTAAAAAAATAGTACTTATGATGTGTTTGTAGTGCCTCTTGATTATAACAATTTAATTTGCGTCATTATGCATAAGTGTCTGATTATCGATAAACAAAATAGTTTACATTTAAAGCTTGAAAAAAATTGTATTAAAACAGTGTCTATAGGGCTTTGCCAATGTGTACTTGTGGAACATACTAGTCAGTAACGAAAATGGCTGTTTCACTGTTAATACTGTCCATACTTGTAACATCAGTTCTCAGTCAAAGCTGTAACATTAGAGAAACAGACGAGGGAAGTGTGTGCGTCTGCAATGCAAAATACTGTGACACCGTTCCAGATTTGGATGTATCTACTGGAAAATATCAAGTGTATTCTACCAGCAAGGCCAAATTAGGATTCTACAGCACCACCGGATCTTTCGTCGAAAATACTGATGGAGAAGAAAGCTCCATCATTATTGATCAAGACACAAAACATCAAAGTATCATCGGATTTGGTGGGGCTTTCACAGACTCTACAGGTATCAACATAAAGCTACTACCAGAAGGGGCTCAGAAAAATTTAATCGAAAGCTATTTTGGTAGTAGCGGTATCGCGTATAGTTTGTGTAGAGTTCCCATTGGTGGAACAGATTTTTCAACAAGAGGATATTCTTATGATGATGTAGAGGGGGACGACACGTTGGAACATTTTGCACTTCAAGATGATGATTTCGATTTTAAGGTAAATAATACTATTAGTTGAATATGATCAGCAAGTACACATAGTGAAACTTAATTCCAAGACAAAAATACTGCCATTGTATCGTAAATGCCTTATATATGAAACCAAACAATGAATCACACTTTCCAACATCAAATTGTATTGAATTTTATCAAGGGTGTTAAAAAAAGAGTAAAAAATTTTAAAAGTTAGGACTACTTATTCCAAAGCAATTTTTAAAAATTCATGTAAACATACGCTCGGAAAAGTTTCGTTACCGAAATGGAGCTTTTGTGAAAAGCAACTGTTTTTTTAAAGGCATTACCTAATATTTGATTTCAACATGGTGATGATAAATGAGATAAATGTCGAAGTTTTCTTTAAAAAATTGTTTTTCTCTGCCTAAGGAGTTGACCAAATCAATTCAGATTACTTAATTACGCTGCATAATTTGAATATGATGACGATAATTAAGATAATTCAGGAGCGGAGAATATTTCTGAAGGGGTATGGTAAATAACGTAGAATAGGTATTTTTGTCAATATTCGATAGGATACACCGTTTTCAAAAAAAAAAAAATTAAATTATAAAATCCTTCTGTATACCGTCAACACACGACACAAAATTTGACTTCCTTTTTTTTTAATAAAACTGGAAAGGCAGTGTAATTCTATAAATTCAGAGTTAATTCTTTATTGTGCATGTTGTTCATGAATTTATGAATATAAATATTTTCATTATTCTATTATGTAAGGAGAAAGTTCAAGTAGGTACACAATTATAGATAAAGCACTTGCACTTTGATTTTTCATTTTAACCGGTGCAGAAATGTCAAACATTCAATTTATGTACGTACGTGCCAATGATATTGGACATGATTCTCGATTTTTATTCTTAGGCTTATGATAACTCTATAGTTTTTTCTACTCAAGTATTCATGAGCAACTCAAGCAGTAGAACAATTGTTAAAAAACTCAAGTCACCTTTGGAAAATTATTGGTGACCCTCGGTTGTTACATTTTCTTCTTTGTATACAGGGTGTCCCAAAATAACGTGTACAACGGAAGACCACAGATTCATGGACTCAAAATAGGCAGATTTAGGTTACTTCACCTATATCCGAAATCGCTTCGTTTGGCCCCTAGATGGCCTCAAAGTTCGTGAATTTTTTTTGAATTTTGTAAATAACTCGAATACGTATTGTTCCATTTTGATTATTTTTGGAGTGTGGACTTTTGCTTTCAATCTATACATTTTGGTGTTAAACAAACTTAGTGTTTTTTAAAACTTACAACACCTACAAAATTATTGTATGTTGAGAATATTCATTCATAACTTTTTCCCCTATAGAACAATAACGACAACTATTTTTAATTTGATAGGCCATATCATTTGTATGTTTTGGGGGCTCTTGTAAAATTTTGATTAAATGAGTGTGGTTTGGGTACAAAAAAATATTTTTTAAATGAATACATTATCTTGTTACCCATACTACAACACTTAACAAACTGCCAGCAGGCTCTGATTTTGTAGGTTGGCAGTAATTTCAGTTTGCTCTTTAAATCATTGTACCTGCCACTGCCCTGTTTTACTAGAAGCGGAATAATAAATATTCACAATGAACATTGTGTATGCTCAAGAAAATCCACGTTAAAGTGAAACATTCTCAACATGAGTGTCGCATTAATGTTTAGTCTGGGATCATTGATAACATTATTATTGGATCTGTTATTCTACCCAATAGAATGGGGAAATTTATTTAGAATTTTTGCAAAACCCGAGTTTTTGAAAGATATGCGGTTATTACTCAGAGCTAACATGTGGATTATGCATGATGGCTCTCTTTCACTGTAAATGTCCGGCAGTATCTGAACCAAAGATTCAATCGTCGATAGATCGGTAGATATTATGTTTCTGTTAAATGGCCTGTACGTTCACCAGACTTAACACCTTGCGACTATTATCTTTGGGGCTCTCTGAAAACAACAGTGCAAGCTTACACATCTAGCACTGAAGAAGAGTTGTGGAGGCACATCCAAAATACCATATAATGTTTTAAAAAGTAGCCCGAATTAACCTTTGTTTTAGAAACAATGGTTGTCATTTTTTATAATAAGTTATACTAAATTTAATAACATCAACTTTGTTACTTTTATCTTTAGCATTTTTTATTCTATTTGATTGTTTTTACGAATTATTTCAATAAAATTAGGCACGTTGTAAATAACTCTTAATTCATCGTAAGTGTGTATCCATATCGATAGATGATGTATAGTATATCTTATCATAGTAAATATTCATTAAGAATTGGTAGATAAAACGACCGCTCATTTAATCAAAATTCTATAAGAGGCCCTAAGCCAAATGGTATCATCTATCAAATAAAAAATAGTTTTCATTATTGTTCCAAAGAGGAAAAAGTTATGTACGGTTATTATCACCATACATCAATTTTGTAGGAGTTGTGAGTTTTAAAAAACACTCTGTATGGCACCAAGGTTTGTAGATGGAAAATAAAGTTCACACCCCAAAAATAATCAAAATCGATTGATACATATTCGAGTTATTTACAAAATTAAAAAAAAATTTCACGAACTTTGAGGCCATTTGGGAGCTAAACGAAGCGATTTCGGATATAGGGGAATTAACCCAAGTATGCCTATTTTTAGTTCCCTATACACAGGGTGTCTCAATAACACAGCCACACAGAAAAGAAAAGTTATGTATACTTTTTATGCGACATATAATTTTCGTAGTAATTTGGCCTCCTGAACACGAATGTGGGGTCAGAATTGGCCCATCACGTCACAATTTTTTCCTAATCTCAAAAAACTTGTGAAAAATAGTGAAAATTGATGAAAATTTACTGGGAAAATTTGGAAAAAAAAATATTTCCACATCAAATAGTACATTTTTATGTAAAAGACTCTGCTGAATTCAAATCCACTGTCAGAATTGAGCTAGAACGTGTGTTTTTTTTCTAGCCTCAAAAAAACCAAGCAGGAATCGTTATTTTCAAATTCTGAGCGGATTTTGATCAGATTTTGTATAAAGGGGTTTTTGGGTCGCTGATTACGAATATGAATTCACATTGTAAAAATTCAAGATGGCTGATCCAATATGGCGGGTGTACTTTTCTGAAATCCACCGATTTCATTAAAATTTGGCATCATAAGGATTGCTGGTTGATTCATTAATCACACATCTGGAGCCAGATTTTCATAAATCAAGGTAAAATTTGTAGGCAGAGTCATAATTTTAGGCCGAGTAGGCGGCATTTTTTCGGCAAAGTCACATTTTTAGATTGAAGGCATAAGCAGATGCAATGATGTGCTGTGTGGCAGTAATGTGTCCTTTTCCTTGAACTTTAAAATTATTAAGAAATAAAAGCATCTATATGCCATAGGAAAACTGCATAGTAGTTAAGCACATCACACTACACATCATTACATGTGTAGAGCCTTAAGTCACTTTTTTAAGCGAAGTTACATTTTTAGAGGGAGTGGAATCGTTTACCTTGATTTATGAAAATCTGGCTCCAGATGTGTGATTAATGAAGGTGAGATCAACCAGCCAATCCTTATGATGCCAAATTTTACTGAAATCGGTGGATTTCAAAAAAGTACACCCGCCATATCGGATCAGACGTCTTGAATTTTTACAATGTGAATGCATATTCGTAATCAGCGACCCAAAAAACCCCTTTATACAAAATCTGGTCAAAATCCGCTCAGAATTTGAAAATAGCGATTCCTGCTCGGTTTTTTGAGGTTAGAAAAAAAAACCACACGTTCAAGCTCAATTATGACAGCGGATTTGAATTCAGCAGAGTCTTTTACATAAAAATGTACTATTTGATGTGGAAATAAATATTTTTCCAAATTTTCCCAGTAAATTTTCATCAATTTTCACTATTTTTCAGAAGTTTTTTGAGGTTAGAAAAAAATTATGACGTGATGGGCCAATTATGACCCTAGATTCATGTTCAGGAGGCCAAATTACTACAAAAATATATGTCACATAAAAAGTATACCCAACTTTTTTTTTTCTGTGTGGCTGTGTAATTTGCCACTAGATTCTATTGCAAAAATAAGAATATTTTTTCATATACATGGGTCGAGAAATGCTTCATAAGGGAGCGATGCCCCCTAATTTCTTTGTTGTTATATTCAAATTTAAACAGTAAAATTTGATAGATCTGAGTTTTCTATTTTTCTATGAAAAAGTGGTGATAATAATAATAATAATATGTATATACAAAAATATGCAGACAGATTATGATAACAACAATTTATTTACTTCGATTTCTTTGACAGTTTGTCTAATTTAAATGAAAGTAAAAAATTTGGGGCAAATTTTACCCGACCCCCTCCCCCCCTGCTTGGGACACCCATAACAAATTTTTCTAAGCACTTTTTACGTTATTTATTACTAAGTATAATGATACATATCAAAATTCATAATGGTACAAGTACCCATTTTAGCTATTCAAGAAAATTTTTTTTGTATTGTATTAAGGTAATGTAATGAAATGCTTAAATCCGTTTTTCTGGAAAAGAAATAGAGAGGGCCTTTTTTAAGAGGGAATGAAGGTCTATCATATGTTTGCATTTAAATTTGAAAATTTCGGCAAGCAAAAAAAAATAGGGGCAAATTTAAATCGACGACTCCCCCAACTGAAACACCCCTGGCTAAAATTTTTGAAAAATTTTATGATCTATTTCGACTTTTAATTTAATAATTAATTTATTTTTTGAGGCTCCATTTAGTGGGGCGTAGTTCCTAGGAAGCATTTCTCGATTCATGTTTGTATGAAAAAATATTCTAATTTTTGGCAATAGAATCAAGTGGTAAATTATTGGACACTAATTATGAGACACCCTGTATAATAATATAACAACAACAAAAAAACACTATTATATTTCGTTGATGTTTCATCGTAATAACAACAAAGCGTCGACGAAAAGCGATAGTATGCTTTTATTGTTATATTAAATGACCTAATTCAGAGCAAAAATGTAGAAGAGGCAATTTTGGAAAAAAATGGGAGAAAAGTTTGAAGAGTCTTTCAGGAACAACTGTCTAATGTATACAATCAATGTACGAGGTGTGGCAATTATTATGTTCCGGGAATTTGCCAATAAAAAACAAAAAAATTAAGTTTCGGGCAAAATTTTATTAACGGCCTTCGCAATAGTCTCTCTCTAACTCTACACAACGATTCCAACGTTGCTCCCACGATTGGAAGCACCCTTGGTAGTCCTCCGAAGTCAACCCGTTCAGCACCACGTTTACAGATTCTTTGACCTTTTGTACGCTGCCATAATGAGTTCGCCAATAACTCTTGCACAATGAACTAAAAATTGAATATCAACAGGTTGCTTGTAATGCGAGTCATTTTCACGATGCCACTAAAAAGTTACTTCTGAAAAATACGCATAAAACACAAACCAAACATGCTATTGACTTCAACCTTGGACTGAACCTAAAAGGAAGGTCCCCCCCTCTAGACAAATATTGACGAACGACGTAGTGTTGCCAGTTCTCGAGTTATAACTAAATTCCCGGAACTTAATTGTCACACCTCGTATACTCAATCCACCAGACTTTGACACAAAATTAACGTTATGTTATGTTTTGAGATACGCCTTAAAAAAGTTCTAATTTGGCAGCAATACGGATGAGGTAAGGTAAGAGTTACGAGGAATATATCATATCACGCAAATTTAGGCTAATCGGAGTCCACATGCTGTAGTTGACGCCTTTAGTTCAAATGTCTGGATTGGCGTACAGGCTAATATGGCATGTATCCCTAATCAATTAAATACTGAAATTTATGGAGGTAGGTGAACATTGGACATGGTGGACCAGTTCCATTGATTCGGTCAACCTTGTGGAAGCAAAATCATACTTTTTTATCTAAACTTTAACACCTGTATCTAGAAAACGAAGCGTATATGAACTATAAGATTTTTTGGTTTACTTGCTTTTGAGATTTTTTACACATTTTTAACGGATTGAAAGGCCTAATAGGCAAAGAAAGGGATATAAGTAACTATGATAATGGAGTTACATAATTTAAAAAAATACATCTCGAGCATTGATTAACATGTAATCTCAATTAGTCATCATTTCAAAACACTTTAAATTTCAATGCATAATGTTTATCACTTCTAACAACGTACTTAGGTACTTCTTTGTTGTGAATTTTCAATGACAGATAGGTACTACAATTTTTTGCGTTATTTTAAAAGTCGTTCGTGATATTGTATTCATATTCAATGAGTCCTGAATTTATTAACAAAAATGTGCGTTTTTTAAGTTAATATTCCTGGAAGTATTGAATCCGAAATAATTTATAAAATCAAAAATATCTAACAGTTAACTTTACCCATTTTCAACATATATACAGTTTTGTTAAAAAAGTCCAATATTTCATATTTTCACCCAAACATTCTCTCGCTAGAAAATTTGAAACATGGCTGACTAAAACTTTAGAAATTATTAAGGAAAAATCATTTTTTATTTTTCACTTTGACACCCTGTACCTTTTTTATTATGCGACTTGTTATATAAGCACGTTAGGTTTAATCAACTTATTTTCACCTAAGAAATCTCTGGTATAATTTCCGCCCCCTCATTTAAATACACCCTGTATATCAACGTCCAGCATAGTTTCGTATGTTCAATTTGAAATATTTTATAAGTTAGCGTACACTAACCTCTATATTATTTTGCTCTAGATTCCCTTTATCTTACAAGCAAAGGCATTGAGAAACGACAATATTAAACTATTCGCCTCTGCCTGGTCAGCGCCAACTTGGATGAAAACGAACAACGATTGGTCTGGCATAGGCAGTCTTAAAGAAGAATACTATCAACTGTGGGCCGATTACATTTTGAGGTTTTACGAAGAATATGAAAAGCAGAACATCTCCTTCTGGGGTGTGACTACGCAGAATGAGCCTAGTGATGGATTAACAGTTTCTACGAAAATTAATTCTATGGGCTGGTCGTCCTCTCAAATGGTAAGTACGAGAATGTATTATCAAAATATTTAAATTAAATTAATTATTCATTAATGGAAAATTCTACTGCTCCTTTCTAGCAACGCAAAACCGTCGCCTAGTTTATGATTTTATATTGCTGTAAATATAATTTTTTAATGATCAGTTAGTCATGGCGATATTCATTATAGAAAATTCATTAAAACATATATTTTTTTAATATTTAGGTAGGTACTAATTTTCTTGCAAAATATATTTGGTGACACCCTAAATCTTGTGAAAGTAAAATATTAAACATGAAATAGTTTTAAAATATGAGGTATAGCCTTTCCCAAGTCAGTTGAACATATATAAAAAACCGAGCAATCAAATTTAATGAGTTTCATAGGCGTCCCTAAACAAATTTTCTGCTAAATGTAAAAAATTATAATAATTTGTATATAATGTGTAGAAAATTTCTAATATATGTTCAATTGACCAACAACATATTTTAATTATATATGTCCTCAAACAATTTTATTATATTGATGGTAAATTTCGTTTTGTTCTGTTTCAAAAGGTCTCCAAAATGCCATGTTGTAATAATATTAGTAAACAAAATATCTTCTTATTTCTCCCGTTCGCAATTGTAATATGAATGATTAATAGAAGGTGCCTATATCACACCAAATTCCGCATTGCTGCACTGCACTGCCAGGCGACTTTTCGACAACTGAAATTTATGTCGCAGTCGACCAGAGCAACAGTGTGTATTGCTATTTGCCCGCACGCTCATTCTTCAACTGGACGTATACATTTCTACCATCTGCACGTTTAGTTCGATCAGACCTGTATATATGGGTATGGCTATATAAATATGGGAACAAGTTTTTAAATGCCGCGTTGCTGCGTCAACGACCGAACCTGATACATACTGTCATCCTTTTGGTTCTTCAATTGATATCGGCAAGACTATAACACAGATGGCATTATACCGACAAAACACTTAATTTTATAATTAAAGTGAATGTTTTTTAATGAAATTTGGTACAAACCCAATTGGGAGAACATAAAGTTCAACAGCCTATACCCGTGTTCCGTAATAATGGGCAGTGATTCATATCTAGACGAGTAAGAGAGGTGAGAGGTGCAGAGGACAAGATTCCATAGACGTACTACTTGAGAAGGGGTCAAGGAACAGAAAATTATAAAAAATAAGTTCACGGTGAATCAACTCCACAATTGTTGAGTGCCGTCTTTTCGGATAGCGATGGCCCACCACCACCCACTTACATCTACCATATGCGCACGCCGCGGATATCATACTTTATCAATGATAATAACACACTGAACTATATATACGCCCTTTTCCAGAAGGTGACTTTAATCCAGTCGAAAATCCTTCCAAAAATGCCCGCCATTTGCTTTGGATATTGTCATCGTGCCTTTTGCATTCATTTATCCATGTTTGGTCCGTGTAATATATTCTAGGATTTAGTTTTCGAGCTTCTAATACTTGTCTTAAATAGTTTCTTCGCCATATCATTATTTCCACATTTTCTATCGGCATACTCTTTCGATTTCGTTTTAAAAAATGGAAATTCATGTCACGCATAATTCGCAAAAGCGTCCTTCTAGATATTCTAGGCAAATTTTTATCCTGTGAGATAGCAGCCTGAATTTTTTTTATTGTCGAAAGCTCATTTTTAAAATACCATCCAGCTTGAACTACTCTTCATTTTTAAGAACACAAAACCAAAATCACTAATAACTTAATTGCAATCACAATTAAATTAACGGAAAGATATACGCGGACTTCTCCCGAGCGTACTCCTATTTGCTTGTGCCGACAGAATTGCCCGGAACCGAATAAACGCAACCCAATTGACGTCACGCTCCAAACACCAATGAAAGTCTGGCTCGTACTTCTCTTTATGTTGACTGCTAAAAATGGTGAGCCGGATTAAAGATGTAATCACTGCGTATTGTTTTGATATCCGTCAAATTTTAAAATAAAAAATGTATTAACCAGTGTTATCAAATAATAATTTTGCAACAAAAATAATTAAATAAGAAATGTGATAAGAAAGCATGAAATCACCATAGAGATGAATGTCATTTAAGCTGAGCTACACATTATTATCAGGTTAGTTTGTATTATCTTAGAGCCATTAGTGTCACTTTTTCTTTCTTTAGTGGTTTCGGCGTTTTTCGGTATAATGATATTATAAATGGTCTGTCTCTTAAATTTATTTTCTCTTTTTTTATTATGTGTCAACGACTCTTGAAATGTCTTAAATAGTTTTCTCAAACGGTTAAGAAGCATATTATTATTTTTTGAAGATATTAAGCATTACTTTGGTGTGTTATTTTTGTACATGTAGCATGACACAATTTTAATTTTTTCTTAAAAACTATGTCCTTTATGTCAACATTTGATCTAAGAATAATCACCGGACCTGACCAAGGTACGTATAGGTTTTTTGGATCGCTGATTCCGAATCCGAGGTTGGCTAAGCTCCATCACGTCAGGTTCAAGGTCATTTGAAGGTCAAATGGCCAAATATTGTCTAAAAAATCTGAAAAAATTCATACGTATGTTTTTGGGGTAGCCGAGTTCAAAGCCGCTGCTATTTTTACCATTCAAATATATCTAAAGGTCGTATCAAGGACATTTGGAGGTCAAATCGAGATATTTGGTCTAAAAAATCTGAGAAAATTTATACGTATGTTTTTGGAGTAGCTGAGTTAAAATCCGCTGCAGTTTCACCCCTGAAGGACATCTGAAGGTCATATGAAGGTCATATCAAGGTCATTTGAAGGTCTAATCGAGAAAATCGGTCTAAAAAATCTGAAAAAATTTATACGTATATTTTTAGGGTTACTAAGTTTAAATTCAATATTACTTTTACCGTTATGAACATCTGAAGGTCATTCCAAAATCATTAGAAGGTCAAACGAAGAAAAATTTAAAAAAATTTATGTATATGTTTTTGAGTTTTCTGAGCTATACTGTGATGTAATCTAAAAACGTGTAAAGATCATTTCAAGGTTATTTTTTAATCAGTCCAAGGTCAATTTTATGTCCATTTAAAAGATAAATTAAGAAGATTTTCTTTTAAAAGTGAAAGTGTATGTAGATATACGGAAACTTCTGAAAAATGAAGAATTTGAAAGGCGAATGAATGATAAAGAGAAAGCAGCTCGGAGAAGTTTTAGGAAAGTCACGAAAAAGTATAAGTTTAAGTTTAAGTAAAGTTAGGCAATAATAAAGACCCCGACTACAAAAATATTGTTGCAACAATGGTAAACTGAAAGAATGCATCAGGACCTGAGTGACTTTGAGAAAAGATATCAGGGTGTCTGGGGAAAGAATATGTTGGCCGACTATTGCTGGTGTTTAAAAAGAGACACAAACGTAGAACGTAAAAGAAAATCAATTAGAAGATCGTTTGAAACTAAACGTAAACGATTCAAAGCTGATGATTAATTTGTATGCTAAACAAGGAGATTCATTTATTGAAAACAATTTTTAAAACAGTAAGGTGTAAATGGGGTGAAAGTCTCACCTTAATGGCTGGACACGTTACTGTTCTTGCCTTAACTGGCCGGGACATTCAGTCGTCTTGACTTAATTGTCTGGACGCGCTTATGTTCTTGCCTTAACTGGCCGGGACATTCTGTCGTCTTGCCTTAAGTGGCTGTACACACTCTTTTTCCTGCTTTAACTGGTCGGAACATTCACTCGTCTTGCCTTAACTGGCTAGGACATTCACTCGTCTTGCCTTAATTGGCTGGACATGCTTATATTTCTACCTAACTGACCGGAAAGTTGCCTTAACTGGCTAGCCTTCTTTATGTTTTCGCCTCATTCGGCCAGGAGTCGTATAAATACGTATACATTTTTTCAGATTTTTTAGACCGATTTCCTCGATTTGACCTACAAATGACCTCGACATGACCTTGATACGACCTTTATATGTACTTAAATGGTGAAAATAACAGCGGCTTTGAACTCAGCTAGCCCAAAAACATACGTATAATTTTTTTCAGATTTTTTAGACCGATTTTCTCGATTAGACCTTCAAATTACCTTGATATGACCTTCATATTACCTTCAGATGGCCTTCAGGGGTGAAACTGACAGCGGATTTTAACTCAGCTACTCCAAAAACATACGTATAAATTTTCTCAGATTTTTTTAGACCATATTTCTCGATTTGACCTTCAAATGACCTTGATACGACCTTTACATGTCTTTGAATGATAAAAATAGCAGCGGCTTTGAACTCGGCTACCCCAAAAACATACGTATGAATTTTTTCAGATTTTTAAGACCATTTTTGGCCATTTGACCTTCAAATGACCTTGAACCTGACGTAATGGAGCTTAGCCAACCTCAGATTCGGAATCAGCGATCCAAAAAACGTATAAGTACCCTGGTCAGGTCCGGTGATTATTCTTAGATCAAATGTTGACCTGTGTAATTTAATTATTTCATGATAGGATCACATTTTTAGAACGGAAATAAAACAGTTCCTCTTATTAAAGTGATTTGACCCTAATATAAGTGTCCAAAAACGCATACTAAAGGACCACGCACACAGTTAATGGACATCGGCAATCCGTCAAATTATAATATGAAAATGAAATATGTTATAGTTTGAGATGTCCTGATCAAAAGTTGTCTTGGACCCAAGTCCCCAAAAATGAATATTTATCGAGTCATTGAAAATGAGCGAGTCCCATCACGCTTATATACAGTCTTTTATGACTCTCCTCACTTTATCTCTTTTTCTCTGAGAAAAACAAGGCGAGTTCCTTTATCATAAAGTCCTTTATTTGAAGTCTTATGAGCTTTGGAAAGCAAATTTGTATAGCTAATGTAAGTTAGCATAATTATTATCTTACCATTAACGATTAACATAAATCTACAGTTGTTTTTACCATACTGCTTTTGCTTTACGGCCGTTTTTTTCTTTCCAGCAACTTCTTTAGTTTGCGCCCCATTTTCATTTTACGTTTGTATTTTTTTCTTACTTCCCATAAATTTGTTTTTAAAGCATATTTGTATTTTCTTCTATATGTTTGCATCTTCTTCTTCCATGAGCTCTTTACTTTCAGCTCGCTTTTTTTACTTTGCACCCGCTCTTTTAGTTTACATCTGCTTTTTTCTTACTATTTGTCCGTATTTTTTTGCCCTCTTATTATATATTGCACCTGCTATTTCTATTTCTACTAAGTTGTTTTTATTTTGTGCCCACTTTTTCTTGTTATGCTTTCATTGTCTTATTATGCTTTTTTAATTTGCACTCGCTTTTTTAGTTTACACCTGCTCTTTTAGTTTAAGCCCATTTGTTTTACTTTTCACTCACATTTTCTGCCCGCTTATTTTTTACATTACGTCTGCTATTTTTAGTCCCGTTTATTTTATTATACACCCGCTTGGATATTAAGCTTTTTTAACTTCACTCCCGCAACAATTTTCTGTAGGCCTGCATTTCTCTACGCGGACTTTTCTTACTTTCCGACTGTTTGTTTTTACTATACGACTGCTTACGTTTACTATATGCTATTTTTTACTTTGCGCCCTCTTCTTTACTTTCCACCCGCTTGCTTACGCTCGTTTTTTTCCTTCGTGCCTGCATTTTTTAACACATCGTATGCCATTTTTGTCTCGCTACTTTTATTAGACACCTGCTTGTTTCTATACCACAAATATTTTTTTACTTTACGCCCGCTTTTCTTACTTTTTATCCGTTTGGTTATTCTTTACGTCCGTTTTTTTTAATTTGCGCTTACATTTTTCTTTCATTGTTCCTGGCTGTTTACTTCTTGACAGCTGTTTTCCGTTTTTTTAATTTTACGCGCGCTTTTCAGCTTTGCGCCCCCTTTTTTTCTTTACGCCTGCCTTTTTTATTTCTTCAAAAATCTTCTCTTTGTTTCCAGAGGCTGGTGCCACATGCGAACTCGCATTCACTTTTGGGTCTTGGGCCTGTGACAAATTTTGATCAAGATATCTCAAACTATATTTTATTTTCAGACAATTTGACGGGTTACCGATTTCCAATAAATGTGTGCGTGGTTCTTTGATACTGGTTTGGAAGGTTTTGAGAACAGCGTTATCAGCAAAGCATCATAAAGTTGCGACATAGTCAGAATTGTGCTACCCTTACTTAACCAGGGGCACCCAGTAGATGTCTGGTAGCATTTATATTAACAATAACTGAAATTTATTGTCTACATCTGTATAATCATTCATATTTATCCCTGCGTGTTATATTACTATAATTATAAAAAGAGGTAATAATTAAATTTTTAGTAATTGCATATAATTATTGGTTATATTGAACTCATTTTTTGTCATTTATTTGACAAATTGTAAAAACCTACCTACAAAGTAAACCATCAATTTTTCTTTCACAGTCCTTCATATTTTTTAATTCTGTATGGCTTATGTCCACATATTTGTTTTCAGAATAAATGGGTAGGCGAAAATTTGGGACCAACTATAAGAAATTCAACATTCAGCGATTTAAAAATTATGTTACATGACGATAGCAGGAACACGTTTAGCAACCTATCATTGGTAAGATTTATCTTTTGGTTAATGTAAGTACCTACAAGAATCAAGGCACTTTAAAAAGTATGGCCAGAAACTTCTATTAATTGTTTAAAAAATGTGTTTCAATAATATCGATGAAGACGGTACAAAATAATTACTTTTTCTTATTCGCATTCTCAAAAATTTTAAGAAATTTGCAGTGTCATTAAAAAACCTTCAGCTTTCAGCAATAATCATAACATAATGTGTTTATAATAATATTTGTAGAATTTATTTGAATATCGGAATGCAACACAAAACGTGCTAAAACTGAAAATTAAAAAGACTTGTTTTTGCAACTCTCAGTTTTGAGATGCTAGAAATTTTAAAAAATTATAGCACCACTGGCACAAAAATGAAGCAATTTTTCGGTAATTTTTTAATCCGAAAAGTATACACAAGGAATATATTTTTAAACACCTAATGTCATTTAGATAATTCTAAAAGTATCTAAGAGCATCATTCTTTAAAATTTTAATTTGTATCAAACCGATAAGAGATCCAAATAACAATTACATTTCGAAAATAACAAAAAAACATATTTCTTTCCAGTCCCCTAATATTTCTTATCTACGTCACATTTTTTTTATGTTAAATGCCACTTTATTTATGCATTGTGTACACAAAATTTCATTTGCTTAAAATAATTTTAGATACTGTATAACATTTTTCTTTCTAAACTCTCAACTTAATCGATGGATATCTGGAAAATCGCACAAAAGATTTTTTTCAAATTGTTAACTCAAGTTAAAATATTTTCAAGGTCATCGATGGAACTCCCTGTATATTATTGCATTTTTGGAAAGAGCATTTATTTTAAGTTGAAAACATATTGCACACTCCATACTTAGGATTGGCCGTTTCCGGGATATTTTGATTTTTAGGCAAAAATTGACAGATGCAGACTCTCAGCAAAATTTAGTTTTCTGGGAAACACAGTTTATTTTTTGTGCAAATTGGACGTTTTTTCTATCTAGTTTATCGGATTTGGCATAAAAGTTTTCCAGTTTTTATACAAGGTGGCCAAAAAAATGATCGAATATGAAGTTCAGGAAATATGGAAAACTCAAAATTTTTAAATGAAAACTCCTAATTTTTTAACGTATTCAAGTAACAATCAACATGGCAACTGTCAAGGGTTTTTAATTGTCAAATTTATTTTAGTAAATGTTCAAAATGTCTTCCTTCAACTTCTAAACATTTTCCATCCATTCGGATTAGTTTCTTGTGGATCGCTGTTCTAATAGAATCCGGTGACAGTTGCCTTAATCTATGCATACAATTTTTCTTTATTGCACCATTTGTTAGTCTCCCAAATTAAATAGCATCTACCATAGGATTCTATTAGAAAGTGTGAACAATGTTTAGAAGTTGAAGGACCTGCCTTTGTTCAACCTGTATTTCTGTGATGCACAAAATAGTTTCTACACGCACGTGGGATGTACAGTTTTTCATAAAGGTAGCTTTAAGTAGGATTTACCAAGCAGATTGAACATTCAGTTACTCAAAATTTAGGTTTTTAGATTTAGGAACAATTTTATCATACTTTCAAATTACCTCACGCGAAAGGTGGAGCAAAAATTATTATTATACAGAATGTACCAAAATAATCTAAGAACTCACTTGTTATTTAGAAATTTTTCGTATCTGGTACTATAAGGGAATTGTTAAACTTTGTTGAGAGTGAATTACCTTTAAATTTTTACTGTTTTGGTTGCTAAATTAAAAGAAATTGTCGACTTCATTACTATTATTGCTAATTAAAGTGTATTTCATTTTAGCTGCTACAAAATGAAAAAACAATGAGTTATGCTGACGGAGTTGCAGTTCATTGGTATGCAAATACTGAGATACCAGCTTCTAGTTTGGAGATTTTGAACATAGTACGTACCTTATTTGATAAGGAGGATTGGTTCTTTATATCATCAGAAGCATGTAATGGTAACTACATTGTTTTTATACAATACGGTTATTAAATATCTTGAATATAAAGCATGTGAAGATATTTAGAAATTAAATTAAGAACTCATTCATTCTCTTCGCAGGATATTTATATGTTTTTGGCATGGACAAATCAGTAAGGAAAGGTAGCTGGTCCAGAGGGGAAAACTATATTAACGATATATTGGACGTAAGTAACAGAAGAAAAATAACATTAAAATGTAAATTTGCAGATAAAATGTAGCAAAACACTACCACTCTTTTGTAAACGCAAATTCTCTAACGTGTCTAAATTTTTAACTAACTAACACATCTGTTGAAGATGATAGAAAAATAATATACACTTTAGTTTATTATACAGGATGTCGCAATATTCTGTTCTATTTGGAACATAGTTTTTTGAGGTCAAAATATGAGTTTCTTCAAAAACAAAAAACTATACATTCAAAAAATATATGAATATTTGTTTATGGACGGATATTTTTCTCATTTCTGTAAGTAATTTTACTTTCGTTATTATGTCTAAAGGTATGTATATGCATATAATAGTATGCCAAATATTAAAATGGCAAAGTTATATTTGAAAAACGTCCTCTAGCGGCTAAATGGAACAACTTTTGATAAAAATAAGTTAGTTGGTCTTATTTTGTACCCAATAATCTATATTGCTCACATGTACACTGAATATTAGAACATACTTTATTTATGTAGCAATTGTTGAAACTGATATATCCGTAGGAACGTAAATTATGCATTTTCTCGCTAAATAGTTTTTTAATTAGTGTGTTTTTTTAATAAGACATAACCTGTATACATACGTGACATTCTTATTTGAGGTAAAATAAAACCATTCAGTTTTGAGTTTTGTTATATAGAAATATAAACCACGATTTTTGCGATGATTTAGATCAGAGATAAATATCCCAGGAGAGACATTCCATATATGTTTATATATTTAATAACTTTTAGTTTTTGCATTAGATTATGATTTAAATATTTTTCATAAGCAAGATCTCTGTTATATGGCTTAGTAATAGGTACACTGTTATTGCTTGTATTTGCTACGGGCAGATAAGATACTTATGAACAATTACCTTGAGTATAATTATAGCTTTCCTTATTAACAGCAAGGTTGAAATAAATAGTATATTAGTTCCAAACAGGAATTTTTAAAACTAGGAACAACAAAAAGTCCCCTTCCGACTCAATACAGCTGTTTGTGCGGTATAAAAGCATGTTGAATGAGTATTTTAAATCGTCAGCAGCGATGTCCGCCAGGATGTAGGTACATGTCTTTTGGATGGCTTTTATGTCCACAAAACGCTTTCCTTTCATCGGCAAAAGCATTTTTCTGCAAAGGTAAAAGTCGGTCACAGGTGTCATGGCACATTATCGTTTACAAACGCCAACTTCCTTCTATGCGACGTTCTGGCTGAATACGATAAATAGAATGCATCAAACGCATCAAAACATTAAGATAGAATTGTACAGTAATGGTTTGGTCGGGTGGAACTAATTCTTTGTGGGCAATGTCATTGGAATCAGGCAAATCAACATTGATTTCACTTTTTGGGTTTTGGCTCGTCTGGCGCCTTTGTGGATCATATTGAAAACACCACTTTTCATCACCAATTACAATATTGTAAAGGAAGTTTTTGGCCTCCTTGAAATCCTTCGAATGTTGAAATCTGAGCAATTTTGGTCGTCGGCCAGCTTGTGTGGAACGAACCGTGCACACTGATATTTTTGAGATGCTCAATTCGAATTCCATGAATTTCAATGAAGATTTTGGCTGAGTTTTGATGAATTCACGCACAGTTTTAATGGAATCTGCGGTTACAAAGGATTTCGGTTGGCGAATATGTTGCTCATCATGCATGTCCTCACTACGTTTTTAAATGACTCATGAAGTCTGCCACGTGATAAATAATAATCATTACCGTAAACTTCGTTCATCAACTGAAACGTGTTGGTAAAAGATTTACAAAGTTTAAAACAAAACTTAACTGTAGTGTTCGATGCTCATTTTTACCGACGAATCAATCTTTTCTATTCGTACAAATGTCATGAAATTTTCACAGTACATCAGTCACCTTTGCGAGGTCATGTAATTGCCAATACTCGTAGATGGTCTTACCAGAAATACATATTTTTGAAAAGTCCCGCTTACTTTGGAAAGCACCTTGTATTATAGGAATTTTAGCTAATTGGTAAAATATTGCAAAAATAAATTATAGAAATAGCTTTGAGCAGCATTTAAAACATTTTATACTTCAAATTTTAAAGAGAGTGAAAGTACCGTTTATTCTTAGGTACATCTTTAAACAGATATTGATAGATAGTGATAGTGTTATTACATATTTCATTTTTACGATTAATGAAAATAAAAAAGACAATGGGAGGTCTTTTCTTGTTCTTTGTTTTCAACTGTATTAGAAGTATACTTATTTCTGTGTACCGCATCCGAATGCCTTTGGTATAGTGCAAAAATGTAATATAACCTAACTCATGCATTATTCTCGTATAATGTATATCCAGCGGCGTTTACCAACGCTATTGAGGAAAATATCTTCTAGCCATAAATTGATTAACCCCAGTAAATTATCCGCGTTAAATATGCAGAAAAGTTAGGTTGCTATCATAACAAAAACAAATTTGCCAGAGGAATCTATTGGTGGTTAAAACATTTTTTTAATCCTTTTTTATTATAAACCCATCTTCTTATTGCTGGTACATTACATCAAACGAGGAACGAATTTTGCTGTAACTCGATGCGTGTTCAATTTTTCAGTCAAAATTTCATGGCATGACCCAATTGAGATGCTAACCTCTTCTGCAGTTTCTGCGACAGTCAATCGGCGATTTGCACACACCAGATTTTTTGCTTTATGAAAGTGGGAGTCATCAGTTGAAGTGGAAGGCCTTCTTGATAGATGATCATCTTCATTTGACCGACGACCACACTAAATCGTGAAAGGCCATTTGTAACATTTCTTACGACCAATAGCGTCATCTCCGTAAGCTTGTTTTAAAAGTTACTTCCGTAATAATTTTCCCCAGTTTCGCACAAAATTTTGGGTTGCATCGTTGTACCAGAAATTCGTACATTTCAAATATCGTCACAAACAGTTAAACACGTTGCACTCGAATAACATTATCACGAAAATGAAATGAAAATCAACAATCCAAGAACATGTTATTACAGAGGAGGTTATGCTCAACGCAAAGCTGCCAATTGCGTACCACTAAATATCTCCATTAGCGTGTAATTCGGTTATTTTGTTAATACCTCGTATATACTATTTTCGATATGAATTGTGAACACTGGGTTTCCTTCCTGGGAAGAGCACTTATTTAGTACTACCATGCCTTAAATACTTTTCTTCCTACAAATAAATGACCTTTTGGGCATTAATAAGTTTTTGCTTACCATTGCTAGGTGCAATTACGTCCATCTGGTTCAGTTATCAGCTTTTGAATACAAAATGAATAAGTACCTAAATATATAACATTCTCTTGCTACACAAAATATAGGTACATAAAATGGGCTAGTCTTGTCAGCGATTGTAGTGAAATACAGAAAAAACATAACTATTATGAAAAAGTTGTGTTTTTTCGTTTTATGGAGAAATTATATTCCAGTAGTGGAACGAAAAATTATTTACTCTTAAGTAAAGATTTGATAAGAGCAATAGGTATTTGATCTGCCGGTTCGTTTTTCGAGCTTCCCGGCAGTTGTCAATTGTAAAACAATTTCTAAGTTGTTTGCCACGTAGTTGGTTGAGACTTCTTGACGCTTCGACAAGATATATTGTTCACTTTTTTTAAAAGAAAATCTTAAACTGGATATACTACTGGCAATATTACCACGCGGTTCGACTAACCCAATAAGAATTCGTGTTCTTAGGCCACTTGATTACTCCTCAAACACCTGTGGTGTTTGTGTACGTGTTTTTCGTAGGAGTAGGTAATTCATATCAACAGGTGTACGTAATTTTCATAAATTTTATCTGGAACACCACTTATAACGTACTTAAAACTAGATTAAAAAGTTGCACACTAGCCGGACCGGCTAACCGGATCCGGCTATCCAGATCCGGCTGGCTCTTTCACACATAATTTAATTTCCAAACCGGTTTGGCCGATATTATTAGTTTCATTTGCATTTTTATCACGACAAGAGATGGATCGTAGACGCATTGCAATTATGTGGCTGGCTATATGATGTCGCAATAAAAAAAAAACAAAAAATATGAAAAATATTCAAAAACTATGAAAATGCTAAAGTTTTGTCCCATTGGACAGGTCTGGATTCAAGCAGTGATATAAAGAATGCTATATCTACTTCTAGCAAACAAACATAGTTGAGTACAAATATTTTAAAAAATAATTGACAAGTCCTGTTCTTTTCAATGAAACCGGACGACTGAACCCGGCAAGTGTGAAAGCGTTGACGGAAGGAGCTATCCGGCGAACGGCCACCGGGTTGTAGCCGGTCGCCACCACTGCCAGCCAGGCTGCCGGGTACCGGCTATCCGGCGACCGAAGTGGTAGTAGTGCATAGTTTTGTATTGACGCTTTCACACTGCCGGGTTCAGTCGTCCGGTTTCATTGAAAAGAACAGGACGTGTCAATTATTTTTTTTTAATATTTGTACTCAATTATTGTTCGCTAGAAGTAGATATAGCATTATTTATACCACTGCTTGAATCCAGACCTGTACACTGGGACAAAACTTTAGCATTTTCATATTTTTCGGATATTTTTCATATTTTTTGTTTCTTTTTTATTGCGACATCAGCAATAGCCAAGCCACATAATCGCAATGCGTCTACGATCCATCTCTTGTCGTGATAAAAATGCAACTGAGTCTAATAATATCGGCCAAACCGGTTTGGAAATTAAATTATGTGTGAAAGAGCCAGCCGGATCTGGATAGCCGGATCCGGTTAGTCGGTCCGGCTAGTGTGCAACGTGGCTAAGTCGTCTATAATGGTGACGAAGCAAAGTACTATTTTATTAAAAAACGATAGATTTCATGCATTCCTTGAATTTCTATAAGAGTAGTTATTTGCTTAGCATTTGTAGAATCAATTTAGATATGTATAAATAGCCCCATTGTTGACATCAGTAATATCGTTGAACTCTTAAATATTTGCATACATGTTGTTACTTTTAATTATTGTACCTGCCATTTTTTGTTTCTTTCCAACTTTAAGTACTTATTGTATTCCTTCTTACTTATTCAACTATGTTATTGTTATACATCTGCCACACTATTTTTACTCTTGGGAATAGCTTAATGTTTTCTACAAATTTCACAATTTCATTTTTGTTTAGAATCTAGAGCATGGCGCAGTTGGTTGGGTGGACTGGAACATGGTTCTAAATGAGATAGGTGGCCCCACCTATATCGACAACTATCTCGATTCTCCAGTTTTGATTAACGCAACCATGCAGGAGTTTTACAAACAGCCAATGTTCTACTCTCTGGGACATTTCTCAAAGTTTGCAGTTCCCGACTCCATTAGATTGGAAACCACAGTGGAGGAGTTGGATAATGTGAGAGCAATGGCATTCTTGAGGCCAGACAATTTAATAGCATTAATTATATCTAACAGGTGAGTTTGAATGTCTGTATTCTGATATGCTCTATATAATACAGGATATTATAGAAGAGTAGGTCATGTCGTTAACTATAGACTACTAGAGAGAAAATTTCATTACTTGTGTATGTGTTTCTTTTTGAAGATGTAAGTTGTGTGATTTATAGTTAAACGAATATTTTTATTTCGTAACTCCTTGTTTCATAAAATACTTAGTTTAAACTTTAGTTAAAGAATCGAGTACCTCGTTAAGAATCTAATTTTGGTAAAGGTTTTAAGTTGGAATATTACTATTTCAATATTATAAATTTGAAGAAGCCGACAGAATTAAATATATTTGAAAAATAAACAAAGATACAGTTTTATATTTTAATAAAAAATATTAAACTATTCGTATTAAAATAGTCACATAAAAATTGTCATCAATATATTATTTAAAGAAGTTGCAGTATCTACAAAGTAAATGGAAATTTTATAAGGGTGAAATAAAAAACAAAAGAAATCAAAGTTTACTCTAAATTAATAATTAATATAAACCATGGACATGTGCAAAAAATAGTGGAGGATATTGAACTACATACGAAAATCATTTTTAAGCTTTTAAATACAAGAAATCGCTTCTCAAACTGCTTCTGATGATGCGGTCACATGTGGATTTTCCAGAAATATGTATTTGTCAAACGTATGTCTTATCGTGTAGATGGTGCATATATATTTTTGGAATAGTGTTAAAACTGTACCCTTCACGCAATTCACTTGGAGTTTTCAATAAAGTTACATGTAAATCGATTATACCAGTTAAATTTATTATAGCTGATCGTTTCAAACTTGCAAAGTTGTTTGAAAACTATTCTAATTAATGGAACCCTCGAGGCCTTGTTGCGAGTGGCCCAAGAGCGACCCTCGGCATAGTCGGCCCTTTCTTGGGCTCTGTGTATGTCCCGCGAAATGCCTACAATTCGTTCTTGTCAAGAAGTTTTGCGGATCTTGGTCAAAAAGGAGTGGTAGAAGAAGAGAGAAGCCTTATCTGTGCTAGCTTAGGATGCCAAACTTTTTTGAGCGCTCCTCGTAGCGTTTCTTTAAATAAAGATTTTTGATTTTGGTTTTACCCAGGAGAGGTGTTAAGATAGTCGTTATTTTCCTGGTCAGAATTTTTGATTAAATATTGATTTCAATTACAGGAAAGATTTGTGTAATGGAATGAGTTGTATACAGGTGAATTTTGTTGTGAAAATTGCTATACTGACCAGAAAAATATGAAATAATACATAAACTATTCTGGCGTAATGGAACAGCATTTGGCGGCTAGACTCCCTTGAGTCTAGGTATATAAAATTATTGCAATCGATAATTTAAAGACCAATACCGAGTTTCATTTGAATCTGACGATCCGTATTCGAGTTTTGTATTTAAAAAATGTATTTTTTGCCAATACACCTTGTATCAATCAGTATGTAACATTTTTGTTAAGTATTTTTGAACTAATGCTAACAGAAAACTTTTTGCATAAGGTAGAATTTCTCATTTTTTGGTTTAGTTTTGTAGCATATTTTGGAAACACCCTGTTTAAAATTACAAATTTACCGTTTTTGTTATAGTGGCAGCGAGAAGACTAGTGTCCGCATACAGAATAGCCAGGGACAGACCGCTGCCATACAAATAGAAGCAAACTCTATCAATACAGTGTTGTACAGTTAGATGTTTGTAATTGAAACATAATAATGTGGTGAAAAATAATAATGCAATTAAAGTAAATATTTAGAAAAGTAAATTGTCTTTTTTTTTCTTAATATCCTTATTTAATCGTTCCGTCTTTATTTTTTAAACTTAATAAATATTATTTTTAAAATAAGCGAAAGATTATTCAGCAAATGTATGTTTATTTATACAGGGTTCCCCATATTAGACTATGCAGTTTAAAAGTCGAATAAAAACTTTCTGATCAAAGTAAATTAACTTTTTAATGGACTGACATGTAGCTAATTTTATGGGATTTATGACTGAAATAAATAATAATTCAATTTTTAAAGATCATATCTTCCAAATGCCCTCCTTCGACTTCAATGCAATTTTGAATTCTAAGTTTAAAATTTCGCATTACTCGACGAAGCAAATCAAACCAATATTACCAAATGATGCTACACCATTAGGATCACATTTTAACAAGTAGGCGCCTGTCTCTAAGCAACGACAAAAGTAAACACTTCATTGTTTTAGTCACAAATGTCACAACTTAATTTAATTTTCATTTTTTAACAATTTTCATTGCGTTATGAATTATTCAATTCAAGAGCGTGTGTTTTCCGTGGAAGTCTACATTAGAACTGGTTCAGTGGAAGAAGTTCGGCGTGCATTTCGACGGCAGTTTGGAAATAATAATAGGGGCGATGCACCAACACGCGTTACAATTTCGGCATGGGTTCGTCATTGGCGTGAAAATGGCTCTGTGCAAAACATTAAAAAACCTGGACGTCGAAGAACGGTGCGTACGCCTGCAAATATTGAACGAGTGAGAGCTGCCTTCACAAGAAGCCCTAAGAGATCTGCTAATCGGCAATCACTTGCCCTAGGAATATCCAAGGGAAGTCTCCACAGAATTCTGCATAAAGATTTAAAATTTCACCCCTATAAATACCAAATGGCGCATCACCTCAGTGATACAGATAAAGAAGCGAGGTTGACATTTTGTCAAGAATTTTTAAATCAGCACCATGGAGGAATACATAATTTGCTAATGAGCGACGAAGCAAATTTTCATTTGGACGGTGTTGTTAACAAGCAAAACTTTAGGTACTGGGGAGCAGAAAATCCTCACGAACTGTTTACCAAAAACCTCCACAGTCTAAAAGTCGTTGTGTGGTGTGGTGTAGCATCATTTGGAATTATCGGTCCTTATTTTTTTGAGGATGAAAATAACCGTCCTGTTACAGTTAATTCCGAGCGCTACATAAACATGTTGCAAACGTTTCTTATCCCCGAACTAACTAGACGGGGACTACTAAATGGTGCCATATTATTCCAACAAGATGGAGCTACAGCTCACACAGCCAGAAACACTATGAGGATTTTGCGAGATTTTTTTGATGGCCGTATAATTTCCCGATTTGGAAATTTGAATTGGCCCCCGAGATCTCCCGATTTAACGGCCCCAGATTTTTTTCTCTGGGGATACCTGAAGCAAAAAGTTTATGCAAGTCGTCCAGCAACAATTCTGGAGTTGAAAGAGCAGATTCAAAATAAAATTGCAGAAATAAATGGAGATTTGCTGCGTCGAGTGATGCAAAATTTTGAACTTAGAATTCAAAATTGCATTGAAGTCGAAGGAGGGCATTTGGAAGACATGATCTTTAAAAATTGACTTAATATTTATTTTCGTTATAAATCCCATAAAATTAGCTACATATTATTCCATTAAAAAGTTAATTTACTTTCATTAGAAAGTTTTTATTCGACTTTTAAACTGCATAGTCTAATATGGGGAACCCTGTACATTTGCTGCATTATATCTATTGTCCTTTATATTATTTATTTAATTTACTGTCTTTTTCCTATTTAATTCGTTCAGCACACTTAAAATAACTACTTATAATTTAAACGTTATTGAGATAAATGATTTTAAGTATATCATGGGAACAGTCAATGTCAGACGCATATTTTCGTAAATTTTCTAATTTGTTTTTGTTAAGGTATATACAGGGTGTCTCTAAAGGGTCTGTACAACTCTCCACCAGAGTACGGCTCAAAAGAAGTCGATTTAACTAAACTTATCTTAGTACAAAAATTGATAATAACGGAGCTACAGGGTTGAAAAAATTGAAAAAATATTTTCTTTAATATCTTTTGACAACTTCGAGCTAATTTATTGAAATCTCATATCCAGGGGGGTTTTTGAATTGAGAAATTCGAATTTATCGACGATTTCGTTGTATCTTCTGGAGGGTGCCACAGGCGATCATTAGGACGCATTTAAACTTCCAAAACGTTTTTGTGTCACGGTGTATTTCACTTTGGGCTGAAAACATTTTTTCTCACAACTTTTCTGATTAAAAAAGGTATACCTTGCTAATATCCCTAAAGTCAACCGTTTTCAACAAAAAGCTATTAAATTTGTAAATGCAAAAAAAATGTGTTTAAAAGTTATTTTATAATATAAGGGTGGCTTTAGACATATTAGCAAGGCATACCTGTTTAAGCAGAAATGTTGGTAGAAAAGATTTTTCCAGCCAAAGTGAAATACACCGGGGCATAAAAAAGTCTTGGCAGTTTAAATGCGTTCTAATGGTCACTTGTGGCGACCTCTAGAAGATACTACTAAATCTACTCGATAAATTTGAATTCCTCATCCCAAAAAAACCCGGATAAGAAATTTCACGAAATTAGCTCAAAGTAGTCGAAAGATTAAAGAAAACGTTATTTATTTTTTCAACTTTGACACAGTCAGTTATTATCAATTTTTGGACTAAAACAAGTTTAGATAAATCGACTTTGAACCGTACTATGTCAAGTGAAGCATTTGTACATTCTATATAAATACCCACATTTTGGAATATTTTTTTAATGAGAATATTTTGTTGTATTTTCTTCCCTCAATAATTATGAGCTCTGAAGAGATGATAGTTGCGGAAATAAACCTTAAACAATTGTTATTTCTTTAAGAAAAGTAACAATAAATACTTTTATATTCGAATGATAAATGATAATATATTAGCTCAATTTGAAAGCTTTCGTGGCAGGTCAGTGGTTAAATAATTTATGTGTTGGTTGCTACCACTTCTTCATATTTCTAGAAGGAAACTATTTAAGTTTCTTCTGAAGAAGAGATAAACAATTACGATGTGAAAAAGAGTTAAATGACAGACATGTTGTGCTAGTAACAAGGAACGATTTACATTTATAACAGCGTTTAACAATTCTCATCCTAATACAGTTACTTGGCACTATACTAAAAAAGGTAAAAGGAATCTAATCTAAAGGAAAGAATGAACTGGAATATTTACAAATCCAAGATTTTTATATTTATCATAAATCAGGAGTCATGTTTATAACAGGAACAGGAAAGTTAACTTATCTCTCAGTTAAATCTTTGTAAAAAAGTCATTTTCATATTAAATTTGCTAGCATATATTAAAATTTTAATGATATAGATTATTAGAATAAAAACAATTAACAGTTCCAAAAGAGTTATCTGACATATAAATTTAGATTCGTAAAAGATGTCCTAGAACTGAAATTCTTTTGAAGCTACTACGTTCAAATGTATAAGGTATTAGCATACAAGGACGTTATAATAAAATTTTAGGTGACATTTAATTCGACAAATTTGTTAGAGCGGAAATGCTTAAAGAATACACAAAATTTCATAGTACAAGAAAATTTATGTAAAGGTCAAAATCTTTCTCCTGACAAATTGCAATGAGCATAATTTAATGAACGGAAGTCTCTGTTTGTGGGAATGTGCTGAATACTTTGTGCTAAAAAGTTTGCAGGTAAATTACGTTAATAATAAGAGTTACCGCAACTCAAGGGCCAATTTTTTAATTTTTCATTTTAAAACTGCTTACTGCATATCCAATGTCTAATCAATTCCCTAGCACTTCACTATACAACACTTTATCTAGAGAGCTCTAAATTCGTTTTGGTCATGATCTTATTATCTCCCCATATATTACAAAATTTCTATTTGTACATAACTTTGCGTTACCCAAATATGAGTAATATTAACAAAGAATGGAGTGATTTTTACGCAAACTCACATATTTTAGTTATTTTAACTAAAAATTATGTTGATAAGCACATATTTTTGTTAAAATCTGAAGTTTACTCCAAGTTCAACATCAAAATAATTTCACCAATAAATAACCTTAAACTTACATTATATTACTTTTTATTCTATGAAGTGTTTCACCAATAATGTGGAAGCAAAAGAAAAACTACATCTAAATATTGTAGTTGAAAATTCGAGGGGTGTTTCGCCAAAGCATTTTGGTGTACACATTGCCGGTATTTCGAGGCATTTTCTTGAATTCTGAGGCATTTTGAGACATTTGGAGGCATTTTGTGGTATTTCAGGGCATTTTGAAGCATTTTCTGGAATTGCGAGGAATTTTGGTGCATTTTCGAGGCATTTTAAAGGAAGTTGTGTACTGTGCGCATGCGCATAATAGTTTGTCCACGAGGTGCTCGATGAGATGCATTTTATCTTTCGACATCGGGGAGTCAGAGTGACCAATTAGGCTCATGGGTGTTGAAAATTGTACCTTAGTACCTCAGTGGCGTTTCCTTGATTCAAGTCAAGAAACAGGTAAATAAGTAACCACTTATTTATTTAAAACATGAATAGCAGTGGCGAAGAAATTGATTTGTTTGAGGAATACGTTTGTATTAAAAGTTTTATTTTTTAACTGAATTTAATTGTATCTTACAATTAAATAAAAAATAAAATGTTTTGAAAAAGTTTACCTTTATGTCATTACTTCTTGGTTTCCATTTTTACCTACCTATGTCTCTGTCGGAACCAAAACGAGCCTTAAATGTACTTAGCCGTTTGAATATTTTTTCTGGTACTTGATATGTGTTATGAATTCGGATAAGTTGCTGTTTAAAAACCCTATAGTTCAACCTTCTATGTAAATTCCTGTTGCCGAGTTTTTAGTTTCTCATTTTTTCACTATTTATTATATAACAATGGTAAGTAATACAATTATAACAGAAAATGATGGTAAGTATCATGCTAATAACAAGGCATTCGGAGGTATTTCGGGGACATTTCGG